CCGCCGGTTTCGTCGCCCCCCCCCCCCCCCCCTCTCATTCAAAATCCTAGCCTAGTCGAGCCCTATCTCCCCTTATTTGGTTGTGATTCGCGAAGCTTCTCTGGTAATCCTATCCCCCGACAGCCCTAACCAACTCTGCGGTCGAGGATGGTTGTCGGCCACTCTCCGTAACCATTTTTCCCACTCAATTTTTCATTGTTGGTAAGTTCTCTTCCCCTCGTCCGGCTATAAATACCCCCTTTGGGGAAGAGTTTGCTAGTGGCTGGTATTTCGTTTGGATAATTGGAGATTTTTTTGCTTTGATTTTCTTTTGTTGCTTGCTTTCTGTAAGGTTTATAATTTCTAAATGGTAGGTATGTGCTACTATTTTCTTTTACTGCATAGCGCGGATAATATTACACCTAATTCTCATACAATTTTCTTTGTGCGCCTTTGCGAGGTAAACCTGGTCGTGGTCAAGGCATTGGAGGACTATGAAGTTACTTTGAGGTGAACAAAACGGACGACATCAAACTTCACGTCGGTAAGATCTCTCCAAAATCACTTAATAAGAAAATAATATAAATAATAATTATTATTATTATTTTTATTATGATTATTATAGTAATAATAATAATAATAATATACTTCTTTGGATTTACGAGAATCCCTTAGATGAGGTAACCCACGGTTGTTAACGAGAATTCTCCGATCTAAATGAGTATAAAGCTCGTTTTGATTAAGTAAATCCAAAATTAGTAGTGATGTCGGGATGATATAACCGTGGGATCTTAACCGGTGTCACTTAACATAAAATAAAATTCCCCATTTTGATTTTCATATGTTTACTGCTTATTCTTTTATGCTTAAATTTATTTGTTAATATCTAAACACTTGTAATATTCTACCTGTTATTTTCATGTAAGCATTAACAAAAAAAAACTAGGTTGTCCTGATATTTTCTACTTTACTACACAACTTTTATTTTTTTGTATTGACTTTATTTTCTTATACAGTCTTTATTTCATTTATTGTACTATATTACATTGCTCTTTCCTTTTTGCTACTGTACTCCACTACATTTCTCTTTGTTATTGCACTGTATTATACCAC